AACGCAAAACAAATCAAATTATCTGTTGTTGGTTTCAAGAAATCAAAAGGTTTTTTTCATCACAGAAGAAAAAAGAAAAGAACACTCTGTTGGCAACACCTGTGGGGATATGAAAGATGAGAGGAAAAAGCAGAATGGAGATCTGGATCACAAAAGCACAGGGATTTCCATCTACGTGGCTCAGTGGAGAGAAAAAGATAGAAGAGAGAGGTTTTTTGGCCATCATCTACCTGATGTTGAAGGAAAACAGTAAAATGTCTTCCTGTGATCAGCAGTACATTCAGAACTCTGGAATTCTGGGTTTTACACAGATGCTAAGAAACTGTTAAAAAATAAATAAATATAAATACATCCAGTGGTTTGGAAATATCCCAAACTGAAATCCAAACACAATGAAAATGTTTCTCTTTTAGTTAAAATATAATTTTTTCAGAAATATACTCAAACCACTGCAGCTGAATCGCTCTGATATATATATATATTTAAAAAAATCTGTTTGTGTATATACCTTTTCCAGAATTAACCCAACTTTTTATTGCTGGAATTTTCAGCCTTTATAGGTTACTCGTCATGTTACTGACCTCTTGACATTTATCCCACCTGTGAGGCAGTTAAACAGTCAAACATCTGGTGTTTTATACTTGGTTATATTTTTCTTCAAGTATCATAAAATGTTACTATACTTACAGTGTCTAAACACAGAAAGTCTTGTTTTACTGTAGATGTTGAATAACTCCCTCAGTTTCTCTATTGTCTATTGGATATGATCCAATTGTCACATAAGATTATATATTTTTGAAGTGACTCTGTCACTGCCCAACCTGTTCCAGAAGTGCAATCCTTCAGCTCATTTGCATGCGCTAAATTATAGACTTCTGGAGTTAATGCAGTCGATATAGGGAAAAAAAAGTTTCCATTCAACTTAAAACTTTTTTCTTAGAATAAAAATGTTGCCTTTTCTATGAAACATTGAAGGTGACAAAAGACTGAAATCAAATCAATTCTGTCATCAGTCTAGTGAAATGCTACATGCTAAAAACAAAACTGTATAGGTCGTGCTTCTGGAACAGATCAGGCAGTGCTGAGGTATTTACCCAAGTGCCTGCTGTAATCGAAACTCACAAGTACTGCTTTGTGTGAAATAAAGGAAGATTGTGCTCCTGAGAGAGAAGAAAGAATGTGAATCTAAATGTCATGATTGACTTTCTGAACTCCTTTTTTGTTCTTGGGATACTTAACAGCTTACTGAAAATCACAAATTAAGTTTTGGACTTGTGTAAAGAAGAAAAAGATAAAGTCAAATATTTCAAACAAAAAGTATAAATTCACAATGTCAAACAGTAAATTTAAATATTTCACTTATTATTTTCCATATTTTTCCATGGCTTTGAAATAACTGAAACCTTCATTATGTCATGGAGACTGTACAGCACATTAAAATTTAAATAATGCCTCACAGGATTTGGTTTGGCCCAAGAGAATGGAAGATGTTAAACTTGAATGTGATTTATGACTTCACCAAAAAGATCTGAATATTGTATCCTCGGGTGTCCTTCCTTCAGAGCACAGGACTGTCTCCTGTCAGGTTGTAAATCAAAACTGTTTCCAGTGGAAAGCTCTATAGTATGTCTTCACAATGGTAGAGAGGAAAAAAAAAGAAAGAAAATGTTCTGATGGTGATGGTTGTTCCGTAGGTGCTGTGCAAAACAGATCATTCAAAAAAATGGATCATAGAGTTCTTAGTGTAAGAAAGCTCCTCATGTTTTTGATAAAAAAAAAATAAATACTCAATCATCAGGAAAGTCTGTGTCTGCTGTTGATAATGAGTGTACTTTGAGCAAGGCATGGAATTTGGGGAAAGAGATGAGACCACATCTGTTATTAGTGGAAAAAAAATGCAATGATTTTGTTTTCATGATGATATTTTATGTTTTTCAGAGAACATGTTCATGTCAGACAGACTTTAATAAAAAAAAAACCCTTTGAGACAGAGAAACCCTTAGTTGAACCATACAGAATGTAAAAGGGCAAAAAAAAAGGCAAACAAACTGATATGACAGGATTCTGGAGCCCTGTGTTTATTTGCACATCTGATAATTTGTAATGCAGCTGTGATTCTCCTTCTCATAAACATTTAAATAAACTGTTTTGCTCGGGAGATCTTAAATGCAAAAGTTATGTTTAATCAAGAGCTTACCCTTATCTTCTTCAAAGGGTTTACTTTGAAGAAATAGAATTGAAATTAGAAAGGCTAACAACTTCAGAAACTTTGACATTGCTCTTAGTTTTGCATGATATGGCTGTTTACATAGGATTCTGTTGTTATTTACAAGTGTAAGCAGTAGCAGTTGTATGTTGGCACATTTGGACATACAATCCAAAAAGACCGACTTAAAACAGCTCCAATCCAAACAAAATATCAATTCAATTCAATTTATTTATATAGCGCCAAGTCACAACATACGTTGTCTCAGGGCACTGTACATGACAAAAGAACAATGTAAAGAAGAAGCCAGCAGATTGTGTTGAATCACTTCATCACAGTCTCCCATCCTGAACGTCACAGCAATTGAAATGAACAATATCATTTAAACCTTGACATCACTTTGTTATTTTGACAAAATATTCCTAAAATGCAGATGTGACCCAAGAATGGCCCTAAAGTGTCAAATGTTGCTGCTGAATTTGCTATTTTTGCTAACAATAAAATGTTATGTAAAAATGCTGAAGACTGAGCAATCTAAGGAAAGCAACAATTTCTATTCATGTTAAGTTAATTTGAACTGGCCTTTAGCTAGTTGGCCTCTTAGATTAATAATCCTGTTGAAATAAAGTTTATTTCTCCATAGACACTGTGTTTTAAAAGCTATGGGAAAGTATTAAATCTATTACAAAGATAATTAATACATCTGTTTATTTAAATGAGTGTCAGTAAAGTAAAAAGGAAAAAAAAAACAGTTTCCAACATTTTGCTCAGAGATGTTTTGCTTCAACATGGTAGCTGACCAATAAAGTATCTATTTATTGTTGATTGGATAATTTAATCTTTCCTATTAGACTAATGAGACCATGGGTCAGTGACTGTGAGTAGTTTATTTTGTGTTTAACAACTGTGACAAATTTGTGTTCTAAAAGATTCAGCAAACAGATGTCCCTAATTAAGAACAGAGTAAGATATTTGGATCAGTGAGTTCTATTTTTATATTTTTGGTTTAAATATTTAATATTTAAACATTTAAATATTGTTTTATTGCATTGAATCTACAGTTCCTTACTATGAAACGCTGACCTCACACTGAAAATAACAGCCTGTCATTATAATTACATATAAAATCTCTTTTACAACTTTTGGTAACTGTAAAGTCAGATATTTATATTTAAAATATATTGCTCTAGGAGGTTCTAACAAAAAAATAGTAATAAAATAAAAAAACAGATCTGTTGAAGTGGAAAAGCATTAGGTGTGAGGATAATTTATCACTGTGGGTTTGAGGAGGGAAAAACCCACAAACTTACAGATGGAAAATGAATTTTTGAAAGAGGCAACTTTAACTGAAAACCAAGGCCTGTGTCCAACTTAGCAACATGTACATTCACTTTATTATGGTTTCATTAACACATTTACTGTATTCAATCTGAAGGCCTAAACTGACCTCATGCATCATAATGTAATGATGCACACCTGTTAAACTATAACTACAGGTTACTGAAACACAGCAGATACCTTTCATACAGATACCTTTCATGCATTTCATGTTCAGTAAAACACTGACTGATTGACATGAGCTTTCAGTATCTGAGATGTATGAAGTTCCTGTCCCAGTGTAAATTGTCAGGACTTGTTCTTCAGTTATACAAGGTAAAAAAGCATCTCCATCCCAGAACTGTCAGTCTGATATGGTACATAATGTTCACCTCTACTCCCCATTGAAAGTTAAAGCGTTATGATTTAAATTTATTGTTATTTTTGCTATTTCTCTTTTTCATTTATCAAGGAAAAATGTGGTTGTGCCAGAAGCATATTAGCACTTTGGATCCTTTGTTGCATTCTTATTACGAATTGCCTACAGCTGCAGCCAAGACTACCTCCATAACCCAGATTTACTGGACCTGGGTGTTCTGGTATGTGAGCCACCAAAAACCAAACTGAAACCTTTCCTTGTTTCCTGTTTTTGTTAATTAATATATTAATACATTTCTTACATCATGAGCTTTGAAACTTCGACGAGGCAATAAAATAACCTACAACTGCATAAATCAATATTTTAAACGACCCTTTTGTTATTAATCGCACTTATTGTCATGCAAACATTAATTAATGTGGCCTGTGAGCTCGACATCTTTTAATCATGTGTCAAGTCGTGCTTGGATAGTTCCAAAGCAAACATACTTTGGCATGACATTGGCAGCTGAGTTGACCTGAGGTCACATATGAATGTGTTTACACAAGTAGAAAAGTTGTACGCCTTTCGAACAAGATGTACTATTAGTCTTGTGCTATAGGAAATACCTTTAGGGTGGTAAATATTTAAAGTTTCCACATTTTGTAAATGGTTCATAAGGATGTGTTTTTAAAAGTGTAAATGCGTTAAAATTGGTAAAGAGTATGATGTATTGAGTGAATGTTTAACTAAGACTATAAATAAAAATAAAATGTTTAAATTATTTTCAGCTTTTGTCTTGATTTTGTTTTGTACACCTTTTTTGCCTTGGCTTTTGCTCCAGTTTTTATCCAACTCTATCAATCTAAGAGCCCATAAAAAGAAGCAAAATAACTTTACACACGAGCCAAATATCCTTGGAGCTGCGCCAGATTCAAATGTGTGCACAAAAGACTTACGCATCATCTTCTATATTTGACTTTACTGTTAAGTAAGACTTAACTGTTATTTCTACGAATAAACAGAAGTGCGTTTTTGTTTATTCGATAGTTTTATTGGTGTAATTACTTCCATTAAAACTCAAATTAAACATTTAAGTTTATGCTTTGGACACATAAATTAGTCTTTCAGTGTAAGTTTTATTTGCGAAATATAAGCAAGACACTATTCTGAAGAAACATTTTTTTATACAAGCCCAGCTTGATTTCTGTTTTACAAATGTCCTCCAAGGCGTTTCCAAAGGTTGTGACTGCCAAACTCTCTTTTAACCTCACAAATGGCTGTTCCACTGAACAAAATGACTCAGACATGTTAGAGTTGACTTTAACCACCTCATACTTTGTAGTGCAAACTAAAGACAAAATATTTAGATTTCAATCGAGATACTTTAAGCTCTTAAAAATTATGAAGTAATGCTTACAACCTAGTTACTTTGTAAGGACATAGAAATGACTTTTCATGCTAACATCATTTATCTAACCAAAAGCATTTTATTGTAGAATGTTTGGAAAACAGAAAGGAGAATGACTGGATTTGGTTACATCATTCCGATTATCACAATCAGCCAACAAAAATGTAAACAACACCTTAAAAACTCAAAGCAAAAAAAGGCAAAAAATAAAATAACAGTTAAAATGATAAAGCACAATGCTTGTAATCCATTAACGTGTTAAAAAATAAACCTTTCCAAACAACTTGCAATATTTCCCTTAGAATTTACCTCTAACCAAAACCATACCAAACAAACAAAATTAAATGTTTTTAAGATTGGTCAACTGGCTTGAAAATTCCTTGCCCTAACCTTCCACATCATCAAATTAATCAAAAAATATCCATTTATCTTCTAGCACAAGTTGAATTTAAAGGTCCATGATATATACACTAAAAGCACCATTCCATTTATATTTATGACAACAGGTTTTTTATTTATTTATTTTGTCAGCAACTCATTTTATTTCAGAACTGACACTTTAGATTTCTCTTCTGTGTGACATCAGTTTCAGACTCAGTCTGTCTCCAACTTTTCAAGGAAGACGTTATCACCCGTCCACTCTCAGATTCTTCCCCGCCTCCTGTTGGCGTCTGACAAAAAATAAATAAATATAGACGATAAATAAATGTCAGTCATGTCGCACATATAATCATCTGAAAATGAAATCTGCTGTGCATGGAAGCTTGGAAAGTCTATATGCTGTGATCTCATCTCTCTCCATATGGCAACATGAAGCTCAGCACAGCAGAGGCTGGGAGAGATGACTGTCCCCATAAAACCTCTGAGCCAATGTGGATGCTTGGCTTGAGATGAGCCTCGTGAAAAAGTTATGTGAACTGCAGCTGCAGAGGCAAAATAAATATCAGCTTAGCCTTTAGCCATCGTGGTGGCAAAGCAAACGAACGTTAAGGAATTGTTTGACTTTATTTTTTTGTAAATACGTTTAGTTGTTTTCTTGCCAGGTTTGGGAGAGAAGACTGATACCATCCCTCCGTCTGGAAAGTGTGATTCAGCAAACGGCTGGCTTAAGTGAGCACAAGAACTGGAAAATGAAGGACTCAGCCAAGCCAGCCTGTACAAACACAACCCAACACACCTACCAGGAGCTCCAAACTTTATTCATTAGTGTTTATTAAATCTGTGAAGTGTAGAGACAACACATTGTGGTTTTACACAAGGTTAAGTACAGGCCTGCCTCTCAGCTTGAACCCTAAGCAACATTTTTTTAAATATTTTTTATTGAGGTTGCGAGGGAGCAAATGGAGATCCAGGAGGCTGATTCAGTCTGACCCAGGCCTTTTCCATCAAATAATCCCCAGTGAAATACATGCTCTACTATTAAACTAAGAAGCAAAACTGATAAATTGTGAGCTCCAAACCTTCAGATAATATTAGATATAAAACCAAGCAAATTCTTTATGCTTCTTTTACCCCCTTTTTCAACTTTGGGCAAATTTGCACAAACAAGGGTTTTATCAGTCTTTCATAACCTTTTTTGCAAGAAAACAAGCAGTTTGAGAAATTTTCTCAAAATGTCAAACAATTCCTTTAGTTACACCCTCATGGGGGTGTAGTACATTTATGATGCAGGGCAGACATGATGACATAAGGATGCAAACACAGACTTGAACCGACAGCCACAAAAAGCTTCAAAATAAAATAAAATGATTTCACAACAAGTATTGATCTATTGTTTTGTTTCACTGATGTTTAACCTTGTTTTTTTACCTAATACTTTTCCAGGTCTAGTTCTTTTTTCTATAAAAAAAAGTAAGCAAATATAAACATCACACATTAATAAACAACTATTTATCTGAGTCTGGGAACTACACAGATGGCGAAGACTCACTTTGGATGACTTTGGTGAGTCGCTCAATGTCAAAATCGGTATCCCCTTCAATGGTAAATTTTGAAAGGTCAGTTCCTGATGGAAAAAGAAAGTTCTTCTTAAGTGAAACAACATTATCTGAGAAGCAATAAATGTCGTATTTTACAAGTCACTCTCCTCTGTGACTTCATTTTAATAGCATAGTCTGCTTGTACAAGTACAAACATTCTAAAGGAAATGTATTCATTTCCACTGGGAGCTTTAACGACAGCAGACATCCTGAGAGATGTGCCTTAAAATGCTTTTACCTTCCAGGGCGATGTTTGTGGTACCAGTGCTGACGGAGTACTGAGGGCCTGGAATCAAAAGCATCCCTGAGTTTTTGCAATGATTAAACAGGTGAGTATTTTGACAGATTGAGGTAAGACAACTCACCCGAGACAACCCTGGTGACCTTGGTGATGGAGGGTTGACCTTCAATAACCCTTGTGACCTTGCTGATTGAAGGTTCACCTTCAATAACCCTGGTAACTTTGGTGACTGTAGGCTTGCCTTCGATGACCCTAGTGACTTTGGTAACGGAGGGTTTCCCCTCTATAACTCTTGTCACTTTGGTTACTTCAGAAGCTTGAAAACCAAAGAAACAGTTCATTTTATTTAACTTGTTCGACGGTTTGATGCATAGATTTCATCCATTTTGTCAGCAAAATGTGAGAAGACCAAAAATGTTTTGGCAAAATGTGATTCATGGCCTCCCTTTTTAAAATGAGACTTGATTTTTCTGCTTTCTGATAACATTTTGCCAAAACATTACACATGCAAGTGTATCATTAAAATGCATATCTAAAAAATTGTAAGAATCCCTTTGGCATAGTTGTCTTTAATTAGAATTACCTTCATGGACAACATGTGTGATGGTCTTTTCTAAGTAAAAAAAATAAATAAATAAAAGAAATAAAATCAATAATAAGTGCTCTGCTTTGGAAATCCAGAACACGTCCATATAAGTAGAGTAGAAAGTACTTACTCATAAAGGTGAGGGGTATTTCCTGATATATGTACCCTGGAACATACTTTAAAACAATTGAAATTTGTCAATGGATTGAAATTATGTTAATATACTTGGCACAAAAAGGAAGTAAATTTGTGTTTGATAGATTATTTCTTTGCTGTAACAATGCTTCTTGGCAATAAATCTTAGGATTGGTACCTGACTGGCAGCACCTGGGGTAGAAGCTCAAAACAAGTGCCAATAGCAACAGCAAGAAGCTGTTTGGCAGAAAAGATTTGGCAAATTTTTCCTGTGTGCAACCCACAGACTCAGCTCTACTGATCATTCCACAAATGCATGTTCCTTACAAATGTGACACCATTTAAAAGGGAAATTAATAGTCTTTTCAACGATTTAAGATTCACCGCCAAGAAGCATTGTTACAACAAAGAAATAACCAACCAAATACTTTCCATACTTTTTGTGCTAAATTTGTTTAGCAAAAAATATGCAAGAACTATGTTCAAAAAAGAAACACCTTACTTTTTATAACCACAGGTTTTAATAAAAATTTGATCCACCTTAATTTGCAAATAGGTAATGAGTCTCCTCAGCAGTGTAAAGAGTTCTTGGTTTCCAACAGGAATTTCTGGAAGCCAGCACAGGGTGTTAGTATTTTAGGATTTGACTGCGGTTCCAAAAACAAGTGTGCGATTTGACATATTTAAAACTGGATGTGAATATAAAAGGTTCAGGGGAAGAAATTCTTACCCTCAGAGAACAAAAGTTGGTCGACAAAGTGAATGACGCCATTTGTGGCCATGCTATCAGATGCTGTGAGTTTGATAGAGTTCACCTGCACAATGTCTTTAGCCTGAGGTAAACAATTAAAACAATTATAGATAATTAAGTTTGGCAGGAATCACAGAGAAATTTTAATGTGTTTGTTGTGGCATCACAAGTAATCCAGACATGAAAACTCATAAATAACTTCTAAATATAAAGTTGTGTTTCAACTCTTTATATAACATCAGAAAAAGCATGAAGATTAACGTTCTGTGGTCAGTTGTTTTTTCATTTAATACCTACAGATTTCACTTTGAGATTGGTGCCCTGGAGAGATTTGAGAAGGTTTGTCACTCCAGACTCCAGTCCATCACCAATGACAATACCATGGCTGAAGTGGTACAAAAGAATGTTTCTGAGAGCATTAACGTCACCTGAAATGAACAATGGCAAACACATAATATATTAATTTACATGAATGCCAACTGGAATCATAAGTAACTAAAATAGATCAAATCATTATAAACCTACTTTTCAACAAGCTTATCTCTCTGTCACTTATACCAGCAAATGCTTTGTCACTGGGGGCAAACAGAGTAAAGCCTCCATCTGTTTTGAGCAGGTCTGTCAGCCCAGCAGCTTCCATTAGAGACAAAAAGATCCTAGAGCAAAAGGAGGAAGAAAAATACAAAACTGGGCTGTTATTAAAAACCACCAAAGGCTAACAAACTGCACTGACAGCACTTAGTCATTTTTATATGGTCAATGTGGAAAACGAGATGTAGCAAAAAAAAAAAATTTAAAACCAAAATTGGTTGTTGTTTTTCTTTCCACTCAACACACTTTTTCTCCTTTGCTTACTTGAAACCTCCATGTCCTGTTAAAATCTCAAACATGGATTTTTCTGATGGTTTCAACATAGCCCCCATGAGATGAAGGGCCCCGTTGCTTCCTTCTTTGCTTCCTCTGATCATGCAGGAGTTCTCAATGCACACAGCCTGCAGACAAAATCCACAAGTTAAACGCAAGTGTGGATGAGATTGCTCAAAAATAGTATGATGATAGATGGGAAAAACCACAGGAGCAGGGTACGTTGTGTTCATTTAGTGGTATACATTCATAGTTTCTGGGAACAGCTTCTGAAGAGATGACATACCGTGCGGTAAATGAAGACCCTGAGAGTCTTTCCTCCGAGGGTCTCCAGTGTCTGACCGTTGTACAGTTGCCCCAAACCAAACTTGTTCTTTACGATGTGGTTTTCCAGGATAAGTTTGAGATCCCTTTGATCCATTGACATCACTTCATCTGCAAATACAAAAATAATATTTCCTTTAATAAGTTAAACCGCTAAATTGTTCTTATCGCAGTAATACAGGAGTAGCAGCTAAAGTATTTAGAACCAAGGCTTATTTGCTAAGTTTTTATTTGTGTGTTACTTATGTAACAATATGACTTTGTCAATGGCAAATGAAGACAAAAGATTACCAAATTTGCCAATGCAAATATCACTTTAATACTGTATGTTTGTTTTAGGACTTTACATCTTGTAATACAAACATTCAAGTATTCTGGTGTCTAAAAATCATTGCATACCTACTGTACTTTCCTGATTGTCATGTCCAGTAAAAGAGACATTAAACAAAAACATACATTTTAGAGTAGCTCATGTATCTTAAATACTTTAGCTGGATTTTTTATTATTATTATTGTGGGAAAAACCTACAGAGTGATCCCATACAAATATATTTGCAAGTGAAATTAAAATGATTTTAAATGTCTTCAGACTGCACCTGAACAAGCATTCATTTTCAGCTGCCTGCTGAGTGGAAAACAGAAGGGCGCACAGGATATAACAAGTCTATGTGACTCACCAGTAAAAACAGCATTCTGAAGACCAAGCAAAGTGTACTCTCCTTCTGCTGACATTTCAGAAGAAAGACCAAGTTCAGCCACCATGTCGCCATAGGTGGATAGTGAATCTCCCAACAGCTCCATTACCTGTTTAGCTATTATAAAAAAAAAAGAAGACGCCAGTAACATATGAATGACAGAATATAATTTTGGGTATGTCATATTAAATGTTGAACTGGAAATGGGAGACTAACCTGAATCTGGAAGAAGTACTTGGTCAATAAGATGAATGACACCATTTGTAGTAACAATGTCCTTTTTGAGCACCATTTTGATGCCATTGACTGTCAGGCTTTCACCATCGCAGCCAATTTCAATGTTGTGTCCCTCCAAAGTCTCATAAGAAGTTCCAGCCAAGATGGCCTCAGAGCACTGGACAGAGTCCAGGAGGTGGTACTTCAACAAAGCTGAAACAAGATCATGCCTTTTAATTTGGTATGTGGTTAATTTGTGTATTTAAATGTTCGTTTGAGATTTTCACAATATATATTTATTTATCCTGTTATGCTGCTGCTGAATAAGTACTGCTTACTTTTCCTTGCAGGTTCTTGTGTGATGAATTGATTTGACACTATGTTTAACTTTGTATAAAACAATTCGGATCTTATATAGTAAGCTCGGGTAAGGGTATGTTCCCAATTTGTTCAGCCTGCACAAAGAGGCTTCCTGCTACTTAGTGCCTATACAAATAAATCAGGTAACGCTTTCTTTTATGGTACCCTTATTACCATGTAATTACAAGGTAATAAAAATGTTAATTAAATGTATTACTACCTTATTACATGTAATTACGTGGTAATTAGGGTACAATTTTACTATGTAATTGTCTGCAGTAATGTAGCACTTACCTGGAAATGTATTACAATTCACTATGTAACACCTAAATAAGTAGTAGGTAATTTGGACAGTTTTAAAGTTATATTTTATTGCAATTAACCACTAGCCCCAAAATTTAGTTGCATTATTTTGGTTATAAATATAGTGTTGAATTATTATTGAATAGTAATTTGAATGTAGTTACCCAATAAAGGTAGTTTTAGTAACAGTAGTTTTTCTTTAGTACCCTCAATACCATGTATTTACATGGCAATAAGGTAGTAATTACCATTTAATTACATTTTTTTTAAACCTTGTAATTACATGGTAATAAGGGTACCATAAAATAAAGCGTTGCTGTGCATACTGTACATCCTAAGACTTGATCCATCTTTTCTTTCTTTAACATTTTAAGTTCCATATTCTTTCTGGCACCTGTTGTTTTTGACCAGAAACAAGAACAATTCAGTTTAGTTGTGGACCTTCCTGTTTACCTGAAATGATATAAAAAACAGCTTTTGCAAAATGAATGGTTTTACCTTTGAGAACTTCCTTATCACTTAAAAGTCTTTCCAGGGTATTGCTGCCAAGCTTATCAAAGGCATCATTGGTGGGGGCAAAGAGAGTGTAGTGTCCTGGCGAACCCAGTTTTTCAAGCAATCCAGCATTTTGAACCATGTCCTAGAAGATGGTTTTACAGGTGATGCTTGGTGAACTTCAATACATAATAAAAAAAAGTGGAAACATTTGTTTAGCTATACTTACATTCAGAGTTGTCAAGTCATCACTGACTTCGATGAAATCCTGGATGGTGGTGCCAACACTGCTGATGACACGGTCAATGACATGCACAACTCCATTGGTGGCAACCTGGTTGCCATAGATAATTCTTGCACAGTTTACAGTCACCACCTGCACATTATAAACACTTTAATACTCTGCAAGCGTGTTAATTTATATAATTACAAGTGGTCTATTGTGCCAATACTTACTCCATTGGGATAATGGTTAATGTAGAGACCAAGGTCGTTGTACATTGATTTGAGTGTCAGCCCATTCCTTAAATCTTTGGTCACTAGCCGTTTGTTGACCATGTGATAATGTAAGGCATTGTACAGTTCAACGTTGACATTGCTAACCAGTGCAGATCTTACTGACTGTAGGACAGTAAGTACAAAATGTTAAGATCTTCCAGACAGAGATGTAAAAGAAGTTTTTATATTTTGTCCTGACTCACATTGTCCAAATCCTCCCAGGCCTCATTGCTGGGAGCAAAGAAAGTGAAGGATCCTGGCCCCTCAATTTCAGGTCTTAGTTTAGAAATATCAGCATAGTTTCGGGTTGCAGTGGCCATCACAAGACCCAGACTCCCGTATACATGGTCAATGGGAGCCACTGAAAAAGAAATGAGTTAGGTTTAATGTCAGAACAACTAAATGAACAGTTGCTTAAAAAATGGCCAATAAAATTTCATTGTGTTTTATTTATTCTTTTGAAATTTAAAAGCAGCCAGAATGTGGCTTTATCCAACTTTTGTACACCTGTTTTGTTTTTGAACAGAAATTACCTGCAGGGCAGCCACGCATGCCATCCAGCTTCATGTATCCTGGGCAGCACTCATAAAGCACAGTCCTGCAGGGAAAAACAAAACATACATATCACAAATACGCATATTCCACCTCCTTCCAAATAGTGTTTGCGAGAATCTTTCCCAATGGTTGTAAAAGAAATTTGGATTTTGTCACAGCTGATATGTTTTCTGTTGAATCATATGGTGATGGTGAAGAGACTTTTATGTTTCCAGATGTATCTTATTATCTCCTGGTTTATTCCAGCAAACCATTTCATCCAGCAGTTTGAGCCAAAAATGTAATGGGAAGGGTACTTTGAGGTTTATGCTACCAACACAGTAGTAAAATGTTACGCCAAAATCCTATTTTGAAGCAAATTGGTGTGGACTTTTCTTGATATTTGATCAAATGCAAGCTTGGCGTTCAGATAGAGTTGTTCAACACAACAAACAGTTTTCATTAGCTTACTCTATGTCTGTGCTAAAAACAACTTTAACCATTCTTTCATTATTAAAAACCCAGTCCCCAAAGTAGCTTTAATTAGACACAAGTGTTTTTATTCCTTTTTTTTTTTTTTTTGCTGTTGCCATTATTGTTTTGTTAGTTTTTTTTTTCTTTACTGGTTGAGGAACAAGTGACGACTGGTCTCTCCTCCTCATTTCATCTTTTGCCCAATATCAAAGCCCGGAGAGCATTGTAGAACTCAAAGTGCAGCTGTGCAATAAAAACATGACTTGCATCAGCATGTTCAGCCATATTGGAACTACAACAGTGACTTCAACCATGGAAAAACTATGTATGTCTAATCCTAAATAACTCACAGGATATTCTGAAAAAAAAATCCCTGAAGACACAAGAAAAACTTTCTTGTAACTATTAGGGTTAAACAGTACCATATGTACCCAGATTTTGCTGCAGATTTTATTGGGGTAGTTTACCCTGTTTTTATTGTAAAGGTTACCTCTGATCCAACATTTAGCTTAATGCAGTTAGAGAAATTATTATAAAAACTGTTAACAAGGTAATGCCTTTGCATTTTATATACAAATTCCTTGTTAATCTCTTAGTGTAAAAATAAAATCAAACACATTTGTCTATAAATTCTATGATGATCCCACAAAATGTAAAATGATGTTAATGTTGCAAAGTGTGGTGAAGTTTAGGCTTTTTATTTTAAATTGGTACAACAGGAAAGTTCCAAAGTTCTATTTTGTAGTGGACATTTGTGACTGAACTTACATAAAACTGCTGTACACAAAGTATGTATTGTTTAAGAGTGCAGCCTAGAGAAACTCAACAAATGTTCCAGGGACACTTGCTTATTTAAAGCCAGACACTATTAGTATTTTATTGCTACAAATCAAGATCCTTAAACGATCAAGAGTTAAGACTTTTGAAAGCAGAAAGTTTACTGAGGAATGCTTTTTCTTCTTTTATCCTCCACTGATGTTTCTAACAGTGCACTACTCCAGGGTCATGGCCAGCCGCATGTCTAAAACATCTGTATTTGAAGTAAGGTTGAATGGGGTTTCAGAGACTGAGATGATCTCACATGAAGCCCACTGGGGCAGAGTCAGCAGAAGTCTGGTTGTATTGCTTTCCAACATTGACGGATTGTGTCTGGCAGTAGAACAGGAAACTCTTGACCATCAGTGACTTTATGAAACTACTGTTCCACTACAAATCTTGATATCTTTGTTATAAAGTACCCCCTTTATAATGTAGTCTTTGTTAAAGTACCCTCTATCTGATGTATGTGGGTTTTTTTCTAATGAGATACATCGCCAGTGGGCCGTCTGAAAGTCTAATGGTAAAGTTTTCTTGGACTCAGACATGAATTGGAAGCAGATCTGTTCTCTCAGTGAGTTGAAAAGAAATACTTTGGCTGTTCAGCCCTGTTGGACCAATATGAAAAGCACAATTCAAGTCTTTGTCTCAACCCATCCTGGTAATAACCTGAAGTGATTGGAATGACAGTAGCATCTTTTTTAATTTAGATTGACGTGGCGCTATATCTTATTGCATTTGATCCTAAATGAAGAAAACCAAGACAGAAATATTTTTGTAGTTCTGTCCCACTTATCTTTATTCATGTAGGGTCCTTAAAAGGCTGATGTATTGATGCAAACATAGCAAGTACTTTTCTTTCTTTTTTAATCCTTTACAGCAGGGGTCCCCAGACTTTTTCCTGGAAGGGCCACATAACTTTTCCCTTCTCTGGTGGGGGGCCGGAGTCAGTTTGTAACAGAAAAAGTGTGACTATTGCAGGAGTGCCTAAATGTAAAATTTTATTGTTTTCCAGAAAGCACAATCAAATAACCCTCTCTGGATTCTTCACAGTATGTATTCTGCTGAGCTAACCGTCCACTTTTTAGCTTTGAGAGTTTGTTTGCTCGCATTTGGCCTTGCAAACTATCATACTTGTCTTTGTGATGGGATTCATAGTGTCGCTGCAGATTGTATAGTTTGAATACCGCCACCGCCTCTTGACAAATGAACAAAAAAAAAAATAATCGTTTGTCCACTGCAGCTTAAATGCCCTGCATTCTGAATCAATTTTTCTCTTACCTAATCTTTTCACCATTATTCCGTTCTCTCTCTTTGAGAGGGGCGGGTTTAGGATTTTTTCTGGGGGTTGCCAGATAGGGGCACAGACCGCAGAAGGGTGGAACAGAATGTCACGTTATATGCGTTTATGTATGAAATAGTTACTAACTAATAATAGTTAATAATGAAAATAGTTCATAACTAAGGAACATTTTATTGCAAAAGTCCAACTTTATAATCAAATACAAATACACATATATGAAAAAAATAACTAAATGCTCTCTGGTATTGTTCTGGGGGCCGGACCAAATGGGGAGGCGGGCAGGATCCGGCCCACGGGCCGTAGTTTGGGGACCACTGCTTTACAGCTATTAGTTTGTTCTCTTGAACCCCTGCAGATTGTGTCTAAAGTTGCTTTCAAAGCAGGAAATGTCAGACATTGGGAATTTGGGGGGAACAATAACAGAGCCAGTGGTAGTGGGTCCCACTTCAGCTGTCTTTAGTTGAAATATTTTTTTATAACCTTAATTGTATTTATTTACTGCACATGCTGAAAGTTTAGCTAGTTTTTTGGAAAAAAAAACAACTTTGGCCTTAATGCCTTTTGATTACTAATATAGAACAATCCTTTTGAAGGGAAAAAATATTTTAATGGGATACTTCCACCTGTCAGGTTCAGTGAAATGAGCCAGTTATGCGTAACTAAAGACTTAGTTATGCATAAAGATCAATGTTACTGGAGGTACATTAGAGAGACCCTCATTTGCAGACATGGCTTAGCTCCGTGTTTGAATTCATACAAGCTGATGCTGCTGGAATCATGGCAGAAAAAGAGGTTTTAATGTTTTTCCAGTCATAAATGCATTCAGCATTCTGCAGCCACATCATATCCTAGAATCAGTGGTTCACCACTGTGGCGCCCAATGACAACCAGACATCTAATGTTATTAAATCCCTTTTTGGAATTTATGGGATCTACTACAATTGTCTCCCAGATGAGGAGTTAAAGGCTGCTTCCATAAATGTCTTTTTTATTGTATTTCACAGTAACATAACAGATGTCTGTTGCTGTGGAAAACCCTCCAAAAAAAAAAAAATATGAGAAGACCAAAAAGCAAAGACTGAAAAAAAAAACATTCAGAAACACTTGAGCTAGTTTGATTTTCTTTTTCTTTACTTTAATCATACTTTTTTTTAATTAAAACTTACGCCTTTTTTCCACAGATGGCCCCATGGTACCAATTTCGACAAGTGCTAAAGTATTTCTTCTTTGTCCCCATGACTTGCTGGAGTGCACAGACATTGGGTCTAATGAGATTTGTTGGAAAAAAAGAACAACAATTAAAATAATGCATTTAAAAAAGACATTGTTTACCTGTAAATTACTATTTCAGAAACAGTTCTTCTAAAAAATACGTTGACTGTCAAAAATAAAAACACCCATTTATGTACTTTTGAAACATGACAGTAAAATATCAAACAGGGGTAAGTGTATATTTAACTCCCATACACACAAATTA